TTCAAATCATTTTGAGAGCCGGCAACTCCAAAGAAGGCGTGCCAAACCCAGGTATCAAAACCAGCAACTGCTTCGAGGATGATGCTTTTCTGCTCTTTCCGATTCCCATAATCCCCTTGCCAAGCAGATGGACAATTTTTCCATTGCCAGTGCATGCAGCCAATGCTACCAATCATTCCAGGAAATCCACGAGACTCAGCTTTTTGTAGAAGCCGTTGCAGGTCCTTCGGCGTAGGTCTGCGCAGGTAGTCCCTGGTGTACAGATTTTCCACTGCATCACATAATCGCACCAAGCTCTCCAAAATAGTGGACTTCCCCATCCGAGCAATCTCATCCACCTGATCAGCAGATGACCCATACGCCAACATTCGTATCACAGCTGTGAACTTTTGCTCAGGAAGTAGCCCCAAATCCCCAGCACAATTTTTCTTTTGAACAAAGTAGTCATCATAATTGCAAATATCATGCATGACTTTATTGAACAAATGGGGTTGCATTCTATATCTTGCTCGAAAATGAACATCAGAGTACAGAGGCTAACTGGTAAGGCAGCCACTATTCACGTGAATAGTAGCCGCCCTAGGGCTCCCCTTGCCATGGCAAGAGGCTAACTAGTGGAAGTGTTCTTAGTGCTGGTGCTGGCCCACCTCCACAGTCACCATGAAATGACCCGACCCAATTTTCACTTTGAAATCCGGGCCAAATCCTATTTAAAACTGACACCTGGTAACCGTGGGTCGTAAAAAGACCAAAATACCCTGCTAAACAATAACATAAACCCTGAGCTCCTAACTCGTGGCTGCGCCTGATAACTGTAGGCTGCCTACGTACCCTTACTGAGGGATCAAGGCACACGTAGTTCTTTCCTTTGTTCCTGATCTGTAATTGGTTTGTTTATTTATCTGTAACTGGTTTATTTATCTGTTAAACTCGCTCTAGGGTTGACATTTCTGGAGTAACCGGGACTCTGTTTTACTATCCGTCAAATACTATACGATCCTGGAATTACCTAGATCAACATACTTGAAATTGACTGTGATCCAACGGTTCGAACGTATCGAACCCGAAAATCACACACTATGCGAGATCCGTTCGGGGTTCAAACGTTATTCGAATTAAGATCCGCGAAATCCTACGTGCTCGTGGGGACTAGGAGATTATTCTAGGACTGACTGTGATCCCCACCCTGCTGCTCACGCGCCGCCCAAGCGACGGTAGGGCGTGGTTCCTAAAGCGATAACGCTTCGTCGGAAAAACTCCGAATCACGGCTCAAGACTCCTATCCTAGGTATAACACCCCATTTGGAGCCACTTTTGTTCTTGGACCTACCCCAAAAACTGGCCTCAATTGGCCAAAACAGTGACCCAAAAATCTGCTGAAACCTAGCTCGTAAATCGAGCTATCTACGCTGAAAATTTCTGAAATCCTATCCAACCAGAAGCTAGAGCATGAAAAATAACTAGAAATACATACCTCATTCGTCCGATTTGGTGGCCGGACGATGGAGAACGAAAGCTTGGAAGTTCTGTCAAAAACTGTTCAGCACTGCCTGTTTCGCGGCTGTTTCAGGCGACTATGGCGGCGGATCGAGGCGGCGAAGGGCTGGGGTTGGAAGAGGGAAGTTTGGTGGTTCGTTTGGCACTGGTCTTGCCTGAATCGGAGGTCGGAGTTGAGAGAAAACAGCTCCCAAAGTTGGCTGGTCGTCCCCTGAAAATCAGAAAATCTGGGTTTATATAAACTGAAGATTGAAATATTTACGGTTACGCCACTGAACTTCTTTTGATCGTAACTCATTCGTTGCAACACCGATTTTAGTCCACTACAGACTCGTTTCGTCGAGCTCTACGCAACGATATAACTTAAATCCCCAAATTCCTTCCCGGTCAAAAAGTCAACTTTTAAACTAATAAAATATTCTAGGAGTATAAGTGTCTTTTACTAGAATAAATTAATAATTAAATATTAATTAAGGACCGGGTTGTTACACACCAGCTGCACCACAGACATAAAATTAGAATCCTTTTGCTGTAAATATATGTGGGTGTGTGTTGGGAATTTGATGTCTACATGTAAATTTGTTTGCCCACTTGAGGTACGGTAATCACATATTCTAATCTAAGTGAGTTATTTGTGAAAAAAAATATATATTTGGTATTTTGGAATTCACGAAGCTTTATATCGTTTTTCTTCTTAAATTCTAAAAAATTTGTTCATGAGATTTGAACTCTGAATCTTTTCTAATAAAAAGGGACTACAGTTTCTGCAATACCAACCGTCGTGATCGATCGGCAAATTCACCAGGTATCATCTAGGTGAGTTGAACAAGGCCCCTATAGACATTTAGTGACAGCAGAGGTGACCCAAGTGATGGTTACGTAAGTCATAAAAATATATAGGCACCCCATTTGGGTCCAACTAATGGGATAAGCTCTATATGTTTATATTTCACAATGACGTGTACGTCCAGTAGATGAAAATTAATTTAATATAATCATTTCATTATCCTCTACTGTAGTGAAATCCCTTGAAAGTTCTGTTGACAACAAAATCTGCACTGCAATGCAAAAGAAAAGACTGAACCGAAGTAGCTAAAGCTTAATTTCTTGGAGGCTACTCATTTGAATTTGAATGGTTGGTGATAAAATGCGAAAGAAAGTTGGCCACTTTCGTGACAGATATGCATTGCACACATAATATTATTTTTTTCTCCAATCATTTGCGTTTGATAAAGAAAGAAAAAGACACTTGCACCCTCTTTTGTTTTAAATGAGCCCATTGTATTATTGTATGCTGCTTGGTTGATTAGAAAGGGGAAAAGAAACAAAAGAAGAATTTGCTTTCTTGTATATAAAGTCATCAGCTACAATCTAGGGGAGGGAAAAAAAGGAAAATACTTCCTTGTTGCCCTTATAAGTAGGAACTTCGACATTCATGTTAATGACAGTACGATATATGTGTTAGAAGTTTTTCTTTTTGTGTTTTTATGAATTACTTGTGTACATGTGTCAAACAGTGATTTGAAAGAAGAATGAGAATCTCCTATCAGGGAAGGTGGCAATCAGTATTCGGGGGGGGGGGGGGGGGGGG